CTTTCCTCTCCAGAATCAAAATTCTTCTAACAAAGGTTTGTTGTCCTCATTATTGAACTACCTAAACAACTCTTACCAAAGATTTCATTACTCAGGGCTTCCAATCCCAACAGCATAATTTATTTAAAAAACAAAGGAAAGAGGGAAGAAAAAAATAATCAAATATCAGAACCAAATAAAAGAAGAGACAAAATACATTTTTTTTAAAAAAAGACATATTACCAATTACTTCAAATAAAAGGAAAAAAAAAATCCTAGGCAGTCACTTTGTAAGTGGCTTTTACTATTTAAGTAAAATTGGTAAACTAAACTCAGGTCTACTGGCACATAAAAATCACTAGCAGCAATGATCAAGGCATGCAAACTGAGAAGCATTTACAGTAAATCATCATGAAGAATTCAAAAGAAGAGAGTTAACTTAAAACCCTTTGAGTATTGCATGTTAACACATGAGTAATTTGCATCATTTGACTTCCTAAACTGCCTAAAAAGCAACGTTTACGGCGTACTTGCACTATGCTAGGGATGTCCTTTCACCAGACATCAGAATAGGTTACACTCATATTTGCGCCCAGTGAGGGCAGCGCAAGCACATCTGCAGACAGCACTGCTTTCGCGTCCGACCACACAGGGGACAAAGGGAACCGAGTGCACAAAGAGATTCCCTTGAACAAAATCAGCAATGGTGTGAGCAGACTGACATTTAGAGATATCAGAAGCAGTAGTCATAGCATCTCCCAACAGATGAGCTTAAAATCAAGTGCTTTGCTCTCCATTCTATCTATACATAATTTTTTGACAAAGTATTAAAGTTTGGAGCATAGACAAGATTATGCCCTGTGTGAAATTCTCAAATAATATTTTATGAGCAATCTAACTCCAAATAGCCTAACTGCCCCCAAGAGTTCAGATTCTTTGTCTGCTAGAACTCGTTTCTTCCTAAGGCTTCACTTACACTTTCTAAAGCTAAATAAATGAGATCTCTTGTTTTGTTTTGGGAAAAAAGAAAAAAGAAATGCAACCCTTTCTTTACACCTTTTAAAGGCAATCTAGGTACCTTCAATGTGCAGAAATCAGTCATGACATAGGTCTCTCTATACAGGCCCATGTATTTTTCCTGCTTTTCTAGAGAGTTGTGATGTGATGCTAGAAAAGTCCTTTTTTTTTTTTTCTGTAAACAGTACACTTACTTAGATGGCAGTGAATATTTGGGAATAAATATATCAAGCCCTCTTGAAGAAAAATTAAGAGTTGTATATAAAATGCAAGTGTTCGGCGTGGAAACACTTTCTCTTCTTACCCCCCCCTTTAAAAAAAACCAGCATAATTAGACATTTGGATATAGAGTATATTTTACCGGTCTAAGTCTAAATAAATGATCTGAAAGGCTTTTGTCCCCCATTGTATATCTTACAATGCTCAAAGGGTTAATACAAGGCATTACATCAAAGGGGTTTTCTAAAACTAGAACTAAGCACCGAATTAATGCTTCTATTCCAGTTTTTAAAAAATCTCCAAACTTGCAGAAATACTAGGATTCCATTAATTGATTTGTTTTTGCCATATACATGGAGGTTGTTCTGATCTAGCAACAAGCCCAATTTTCAATAGCACTGCATGCCAACCCTCCTCCCCCATGTTCCGGTGTGATTCATACAGATTACAAAAATTCTGATTTCAATTTTTGGATGGTTGTTATTTTCTCACCAAGAATTGGGGAGGGGGGGTTAAAACAAAAGTCAATTAATTTACTGTATTTAACCACTGCCTCAAATTGTACACAAAGGTGACTTGCCAAGTTTTTTACTTTCTAGTTGTGTCCACAGGGAGGACCAACATCACAGTGACACACATTTTTGTTTTCTTTTACACTAATGTTTCAAGCACAGCATTAGACATTTCAAATATATCATTTGAAGGATTTTTAAAATTTTTAAAATGCATTTAGCACTTTTAGTGCATTCGTGTAAAAAGGTTCATGATTATGGCACTGAAACCATAATCACTCCTGAATGACTTTTACAGTATTCAACAAGAACATGTTCATTTTTACTAGTCTACTACAAATCAAAGGCAGTCAATGTTGCACACTACTAATTTTAGGTACGCAGTGTTGAAACCATTTTCTAAATTTACTTTTGTTTTTAAAGTACACCTTCTAAAGAGAGGTGCATAAACCATGCTATACAGTACAAGAAAAAGCACAAAAAGGAAAGCAGAGTTCTGAAAAGGCAGTAAGACTTATACAGTCAGTCCAAACATAGTTTGGATGAAAATCCTGAATAAGTGACCAGCAAATTGATAGCCAAATAAAAAACTGAAAATTGGGCCCTGTGTTCCAAGGAAATGGTTCATCCATTCCACCCTCTTGTTCACTGGTTTTGTGAATGCAAATCTTTTGGGTATGATTCTCAAAATCTATGTCAAGATCAAACTACACCCAAGATACTCAATCCTGTCATATGGCAATAGCTTTTTTGAAACTTAAAAATAGTCAGCATACCTTCCTTACATTCTTCTTCACTGAAATGTAGCACTTGGTTTATGAAGATATTTTTCATGACTAGTGTTTAATTATAATTGCAAGAAATATCAATAAGTCCTTAAAATATGAACTTGTATCATTTTTTAATAAATCTACTATGAGGGCATTAGTGTCTAATATTATTTAGAAAATATACAATTTCAATTAATAAAAATGGAAATAAAATAAATGCAATAAATGTGATTGCTTCAATTTGTTCAGATGTATAAATTATGTTTTCTAGTATATTTCACAACTCAAATTTGAAATTGATGCAAATGTTTGTGCATGAGTGTATGTGTGTGCATATCTGAGTGTGAACTACAATAACTGGAAGTAGCATAAACCACAGGTATTCTTTTGGGCGTTGGTCAGAACTATTTACACTAGTCATACAGAATTAATATTCCTAAATATTCATAAAGAAGATTAGATTATTTTTATTGAGTCAAGTTCAGATGTAATAATATTTATTAGTTCCTAATCTGTCCTAACTTAGAACAAACCATGAACAATTGGAAGAAATGTTGAATCGTGGGGAGTCCCCAGTCCCTAACTCTCATCAATCTAAATTTGCCCATTATTATCAGATTCCTCTAATGACACAAATATATCCAACGTTAAGTTAAACAATGATAATAAATACATTTAAAGTCATTCAATAAACAAGATGAAACCAGTAAATACATTTGGTCCAATACAGATAGAGCAGTGTTCTGGGGATGGTGGGCAGAGACAGGAAACTGAAAAAATTCAGAAAGGAGAGCCAAAATATAGTATCTTTTTTCTTCACTTTTTGATTTTAATTTTATCTGTAAACATTTCCTACTGCACACAATGAAGTAGATACATGATCTTTTGCAGTTTATGTTTTGTTCACCGTGTGTGTGTGTGTGTGTGTGTGTGTGTGTGTGTGTGTGTGTGTGTGTGTATGAGTGAGTGATGGTGCAAATTCATTGCCTTTTTAGGAGGAAACAGGGAGGATAATTTACATGATATTTAGATGAAAGTGATGCGAGTATGCTAGTAAAGACTTCCAAATATATGAGTGAGTTGTAGAATACAAAATTTGAATCAAGTTTTAAAATTACATCTGAAACACCGAAATTGTACTTAAGAAATGCTGTTGACCTTTTCTGAGTAGTCTGAGGCAATCAAGCAACAACAGTTCAAATTCCCTGTCTATTACCTGATAAGCCATTTGGTATTTCTAACTTCACAGACTGGCTCACCCTCTTCTTTCCAACCCCCGCCCTCCTCCCCACCCCAATACAACTGGAAAGATAAACATCTTGAGTTTAAAATAGGCCTCATCAGTCATCTGTAAATCATTTTGTGCTTTCCCTTTTTTTGGCTTTATTGATTTTTGATTTTTTTTTACAATGATTTAAGTAAATGGATGTATCTTTTATGTTTTCTGTTTTTTTTAATCATTTGAGTGCTTAAAAGAACCTTGGCTTTTCATGCAAATTAACATGGGGACAGGTGTATACTCTCTGGGATCTCACCTTCTGACTTTGTAGCAGACTCATGCCCCATGGGCACACGTGTGTGCATGTGGACACAGACACCTAGACACACAGACAAACATTTAGACTGAAAAGATGCACTTCAATAAGTACCTGCTTATTTTGTTAACTTTTTAAACTTGTAACTAGATAAGAATGGTCTAAAACATATATGATTTTATGTAACAAGTTGGTATTAAAACTAGCCTGCTATTCCACACCCTTAAGCGATCTGATTTATAATCAAGTAATATTCAGCTCTAAGAATAAAAAATAGGTTCACGGTCACTCCAAGAGGGAAACTGATTTTTGTCTTTTTGTTTTGCTTTGTTTTCCCTAAATTTCCTTTGAAGAACATGTAACCTGTCCTTACTTCAGGAATCTGAAAATGACAGGCACACTCTGTCAAATGGATTGAAGAGTTATTCATACGAACAAAATAAACCTTACTAAACCTTAGCTTCAGTTCTGTTTTAAGGCACCATGTAATAGCCGAGGTACGATGATCCCTGATGTACATTCTTCATGGCAATGATCCATCCAGCCACCTATCCAAATCCTACAGAATTGGGGATAAGTAACAGTGAGGTGTGCCAGTTACACTGCCTTCAGGTTCTGTTTACAATTTAAATCCACATACTTTAGAAATCAGGAAATATTTTTGAAGGAAATAACGTTATGTAGTTTGCTACATTCCTTGCATTCTATAAATTTTCTTTTATAATAGCAGCATATTGAACTACTATTAGGAAAAAGACCTGGAATAAAAGAAAGTCATCCAAATGGAATGGTTTCCTGTATGTCCAGCTCAGCATTAAGTAGCATGTACACTTAAAAAAAAAAAGTCAAGTCATTTTTTTCAGTTTCAGTATCTAACTATAACAGCCCCACTTAACAGCAGAATGCATCTGTGCAGTGGTCCCAAATACAGAATCAGTAGTCTTAAAACAGAGGAATTGGTTTGCAAATAATAGTTCAAATTCAATGTTTACAAGAAGCTTGCATTGTTAACATGGTTTAATAATTATGTACACAAATTATGTACATATTAGCATAATCTCTTGCAATTTTGCCATTTATTCTGAACTGATAAATGCATGGCTCAATTTTTCTTCAGAGAAAAATAAATGACCTTCCCAACCCTCTAGCACAAGAGTAAAAATGCTCTGTATTCTCTCTCCATACTCCAAAATGTTATTAAAGTAGTGTCTTACGGTTCTGGCCAATGAAAAGCACCTTGCAAAAGCAAATTTGATGCATCTGCTGCAAATGGGCATGCCTCCAGTGTAAATCAAAGAAATTCATTTCTTTTGATATTTCACAGAAGTGCATCTAATTAAAAAACTTACACATGAAATCATACACCAAGACTAACAATCAACAATAAAATATTTTAGCTACAAAAATGTAAATTACTTTTTAATTATAAGAAAACAAAAGCATGACATTAAGTGTTGTAAAAATCCTTCTTGACACCTGAAACTAAGGGGGAAAAAAACTCATTATTAAGAGACAAATAATTTGTTTACGTTAAAAAAAAAAAAAAAAAAAGACCTGGCAAAATACATACACCCATTCCATTTCACAACTCCAAAAGGTAAAATGTTCAGCACAGATAGAATTTGACAACAGTCGACCTTCAGGCTTATTAAATTTTCAACTTAAGCCCAATATCAACAGGGTTAATGTAAGCTGGAAAAATACGCTTTAATATTCTTTAGACTGCAGTGTAGGTATTTCCGGTGGCGCTGCACTGCCTGATAGTCTGAGTACTTGTGACGATGTGCTCGCTATGAATCGGATTCAGGAGGCTCGGCTGCACGCTGCTCTCCAGAACAGGCTGCATGCAGCCCACTGGGAATGCCTGGCTCAACTCTGTTTTCTCTCTTTTGGCTTGAGGCTCTGAAGAGTCATCCAGTTCTTCATCCATTTCACTTTCCACTTCACTGCCTTCATCTGCACAAACAAATAATACCAAGACTATTACCGGGAGACAAACTGGAACATAGCAATCGACACATGCTTCAGAATTACTTTACTATAGCACATTAAGAAAGCAACTTCTTAGCTCTTCTCAGGGGACAAAGATTAAAGGTTTTCCTTTCATTGGTTTTTACTCATATCAATGCTGTATTTATGCAACTATAATTCTTTCAAATATATCAAAAGTTATTTATTTATTTTTATCAATAAAATAAAAAAATTAATTTTACTCATTCATATGAGATACACATATTTTGGGGATACGGGTGATAATTCGATACATTCATATAACCAAATCAGAGCATTGGGATATCTATCACCTTAAATATTTTTTTTTCTTTATTCTTTTCCAGCTATTTTGAAATATAAAATTAATGTTAACTACAGTCACCCTATTGATCTATCGAACACCAGGTCTTGCTTCTTCTGTTTATCTGCATATTTGCACACATTAATCAACCTCTCTTAGTCGTCCCACACCTCCTTCCCTACCCAGCCTTTGCTAACCACCAATCTACTTTATCTTCATGATATCCACTTTTTGAAGCCTCACACGAGTGAGAACATGTGATATTTGTCTTTCTATGACCTACAGTTCCATCCATGTTGCTGCAAATCACAGGATTTCATTCTTTTTATGGCTGAACAATATTCCATTGTGCATATATACAAATGTTTCTTTATCTATTTTCAGTTGATGGACACCTAGGCTGATTCCATATCTGGGTTACTATGAATAGTACTGCAATAAACAGGTAGATGCAGACATTCCTTTGATACACTGATTTCTTTTCGCAAAGGGAATTTATTTTTAGCAATTTGTGATGCTTTTTTTTTTTTTTTTGAGTTGGAGTCTCACTCTGTCGCCCAGACTGGAGTGCAGTGGCCGCTCCCGGCCACCGCAGCCTCGCCTGCTAGGCTCCGGCGATCCTTCCACCTCAGCCTTCCGAGTAGCCGGAATTACAGGCATGCGCTACCATGCCCGGCTGATTTTTTGATTTATTGTAGAGATGAGGTCTCGCTGCCCAGGCGGGTCTTGAACCCGCGGTCTCAGGCAATCCACTCACCTCAACCTCCCAAAGGCGTGGGATTACAGGCTGAGCCACTGAGCCCGGCTTGTGATGCTTTTAAGAAGACCTTTCGAATTCCCTGAAGTATCTATGTTAAATAGTGGCATAATTCATGTCATCACAAAGTAGTCACTTTGGTACGCTATGTTGGCTTTTTGAGTAATGTACTGCACTGAAAATGCTAACCTCCCCAACCCCCCAAAAAAGAAATGTTCAGTTTCCTCCAAAAATCTAAACATAAACTTCATCTGTGCTGGTGTTAATGTAGGAGAGATCTATGTTGATTCACAGTATAACGACTGCATGTATAAGTGGAGAGAGCTGTGCACACACACAGTTTTACTACTGGGTAAGATTTTCCTCAGGAAAATACAGAGAATACCTCTTCGTGAGTGATAGTTTTTAAACAGTGGGGAATATATTCCCACCTTAAAAATCCTTACTTCACCTTCAACATGTTTTATTGTTTACCAAAAAAAGATACGCATATAAACACATCAAACATCTCTCCTATAGCCAAAATACACCTACATTTATTTTTAGATTTTTGACTTTTTGATGACGGCTTGTATTAACAGAGTCAGGTTTCTATTGTATTCTATGGCATATCATGTACAATGAGTGTGCAACAAGTATCTCTTTAGTCAGAGTAAGTTGGACATTTTTTTAAGTTGGAATCTCACTCCGTCGCCCAGGCTGGGGTGCAATGGCAAACACACTCACGGCCACCTCAGCGTCGACCTGCTGGGCTCCGGTGATCCTTCTGCTTCAGCCTTCCAAGTAGCCGGAACTACAGGTGTGCACTAACTACCATGCCCGGCTAATTTTTTGAAACTTTTTATTGTAGAGACGAAGTCTCAACATGTTGCCCTGGTTGGTCTCGAACCCGTGGGCTCAGGCAATCCTCTCGCCTCGGCCTCTCAAAGAGCTGGGATTACAGGCTTGAGCCACTGCACCCGGCAAGTTGGACTTTTTCTAAGCAGTGTTGAGTTTAGTTTTGCCATTTGGGGGACACCTATGGCAGAGATCTTTGCTAATGCAGCTCTTTATAGAAATGGGGGCCCATTATTTCTTCTCTCATTCTCTTCTCTCTTTAACAGCTGGGGCAAAGGTGATTCCAGAGACAAGTGAAGGGGAGTTAAAGGGCCTCCATATATGACTGTGCAGTGTGTAGTCACTATGAGCAAGGGCTGAGAAATGGCATATGTGATTAAAGAGGTTGAGATTCACACTCTTTGGCTAGAAATGATGTCTGTAGTGCGTTACTAAGCAGTAAAACAAAGAACAGCTCTTAGATGAGGCAAAAGACATCTTGGGCCATCTTCTTCATCCGGTTTACCATTTTGTCTCTGGAAAATGAATGTGATGATAATATTAGATTTTGTCAGAACAACCATATTTGAAGAGTTGAGGGGCTACAGAGAGACGGCTACCTTTTGTAGAAATTTGTATCATCAAGAGGGTATGACTAGGTGTGTTTGTATCATATTTATTTTGTTTCAGCATTTTTAAAATTTTTTTTTTTTTATTTTAAAGATGTGGTATTGTGACAATGAAGCTTTGCTTTCTACAGCTTCTAATTCTCTGTATTCTTTGAAATTTTTATACAGAGTCAATATTACTTTTATTATCAGGGAGAAAAATTCTCATTTTGTGGGGGAAAAAACCCGAAACTCTTAAGATTATGCATTCAATCTGTAGACCCTGAGTATGCTGTTCTAGCAAGAGGTCTGGGGCTGAAAGGGACCAGCATAACATGTCTAAAAGGTGAGGGCAAGTCAGCTGCCTCTCATGTTCTTCTCTACCAACTTTTAGGTGCCTGAGAAATAAGTGTCGAAATAATAAAAGAGGGTGCACTGAAAGGAAAGGAAAATTTCATTTTTATAAAGACAAACTCTTTTTCCCAGTCCTAAGGACAAAGAAATGCAAATCTGTAGACATGTTTGGTCTATAAAGACTCAACGATACTTCCCTTAGGAGCCTATTTGAGGCTATGGAAGTGTAAGATACAAAAACTAAAATTAGGTGCTAGTAGAGTTTACCAAAGTCTTTGGTTCAGCACTTTTTGAAGAAGACTGGCTGGAATTCAGTGTTCAGATGAGTAGTAACACTCCTACTGCACCTCTGGGCACTTGGGTCATGAGGCTTTGGTGTTGGTACATCATTGGTGATGCTGTATGTTGGATATGGGTTTCAATGGCCACCTTTCTTGCTCTAAAATTGCTAATAAGTATCATTAAAGATTTGTTTTTCTGAGGGTTATTTGGTTAATCCTGTAGAGTAAGTATTTGCAGCAACATTTTTTGGCTAAAATTTTCTAATTTTTCTGCCTTGCTACTATGCATATTATTAAGACGGGAAGTAAGGCATGCACAATGGTAAGTAGAAACTGACAGGAGTTTAACATGGGATTGGTGTTGACTGACACATGGCACTCCCCATCATATTCATATTTTCTATGCCAAGACACAGCTGAATGCCAAGAAATTAGTACAGCACATTCTGGAGAACAGTACTGTACCCCTTTGCAGACTCCCCAAGTCCTCCCTTTTGCCTCAGTTTCCCCACTGGCTCTGTCCTGGAATAGTAAATGCCTAGTTCGCCCCAGTCTTTGTGCATTTAGTCCCTGTCTCCAGAAGTTAATTAACCATAATAATTCCTAAAACCCCAAGATATGTTCCTCTTTTTTTTTTGAGTTGGAGTCTCACTCTGTCACCCAGACTGGAGTGCAGTGGCCGCTCCCGGCCACCGCAGCCTCGCCTGCTGGGCTCCGGCGATCCTTCCGCCTCAGCCTTCCGAGTAGCCGGAATTACAGGCATGTGCTACCACGCCTGGCTGATCTTTTGTTTTATTGTAGAGATGAGGTCTTGCTGCCCAGGCGGGTCCCGAACCCGCGGGCTCAGGCAATCCACTCACCTCAGCCTCCCAAAGGCGCGGGATTACAGGCTGAGCCACCGAGCCCGGCTGTTCCTCTTTTTTAAAGGAAAAGTACTATCTACTGCAGTGTTGTGAGAAAATTTACCTGTTTCCAAAAACTGTATTGATAATTTTATCAGAATTGATTTTGTGATCTGCTTATAAAGTTAGATAGAATTTGGGTGCTTTATTCCAACTCCATCACCCCCTAGGCCCTCCCTGTTACCTGTTATTCTTATTTTGTGGTTTTGTTGAGCATTAGGTTCTTCAGAAATATATATATGTCATATGTCATGTTATCATATGATACTACATATTAGAGTGGTAGTGCTGATAATTGAAATTTCAGAAGCATATGTTACCTTCTTTATCTATACCACTACTGATCTTGCTTTTACAGTAAACCTTATTGCCGTCTCTGAGTTCGTTTTTCACAGGAAACTGTGAATTGGTGAGGTGGGTGGGCTTAGAAATCTTTTTTTCTTGCCTGGTGGGCCCTGAATAAAAATATCTACGTTAATTTTATCACTTCTCTACAGGACTCTGGCCATGGTCAGAAATCATTTCTTGTTACTTATAAAGAACTTCAGGCAAAAACATGTAAAGAAGTTTGTAACTGTATTTAAATTCAATTCTCTGCATTTAATATGCCACATATAAAAGAGGGGATAGAGATGAAGAGAAATGGAGAAATGAGATTTCCAAAGACATGTGTGTCATATTCATCTAGGGTCCGTATGCCACTTCCACAAGATCAGAGTGTTATAGATACATGCTATATTTTCCTCTATAAGAATATCTCATTTTAACAAAAACCTTAAAAATATACATTATTTTCAGTCCTTACCTTTATCCAGATTTCCAGGAGACACAGCATTTAAATCACCAAACTGCAAAACAATAGTTATTTGTGCAACTGTTATTATCAGGTAGAATAAAATAATATTCTATCTGTCTGTGGTAAAAACGCCTATGATTTTTTAAAACTGTAAACTAGTGGCCATTTTGATCTCTAATTACATGGATCTCATAATGTTCCAATCATTCTTGTCAAATTTGAACAGTTTAAATTATGTCACAATTTAGCTGTCTTAGCCTCTTTGTAGAAGAATAACAATTTTCTCTACCTTCTGGACTCTGTTTTACCTTTTATTATTTCAACTCAGCAATGAAGAAGTAGGGGCCTGGATGAAGATGGATGTGGTAAAGAAAATTTGGGAAAGTCCCAGTCTAGCAGGACGCATCAGCTCCACCCCCCATGCTTGGCTGATGAGTCTACCTGGAGTCACGACATTAGAAAAGTGTGTTCTAGCAGTTTTGTAGAACTTTTGAAAAAAGCTTTTATAGCAAAAATGAAAGATATAAGTCCCATAAGAGTATTTATTTTTTATAAAATCTTTAATTCAAGACTTCTCATTTGCAATCTGATGTTGTTACTAAGATAATAAGATCCCCCTTTTAAAAGAAGAGTCATCCTTGATCATTACTAATGCAAACAAAATGCTTAAAACAACAGAGAACAATTAAAAACCTTCAGATAAAATGTTATTTTATACCTTGGTTCAATAGTTTGCTGATAATTTTATAGTAAGAAAACATATTTTGAAAGTCTCAGGGTGAATAAAGACGGAGGCACTAAAATAAAAATTGAATAGAGGTACCAAAACTAATCAGAAAAAGGTTAAGTGAAACTGCAAAGCTTCTATTTTTTAAATGGAAAACATTACTTTTTTGAAGTAATAAGTTATTTATTAGAAATTCAGATTTCTCAATAGGCTTAGAAAGGATGAGACAGAAATTCTACTTACATTCGGAAGTTTGCTTATAAAGAGTTCCATGATAGGAGTATTTTTTTCATCTACAAGGTATGTCTATAAAGTAATAAAACTGATCTTATTTTGCAAACATACACATTTTCCCCCCAACCTAAACAAGTATTGTTCTTCATAGTAGCTACCTTGGGAGCTTATACATTTATTCCAAGGCCCAGGGTTCTGGAGTTCCTCTTTGACAATCAATCCAAGATTATGCATCATTCAAGAAAGCCCATCTTGTTATTTTACTGTGGCTCCAAATAACACTCCAGATTTTATTCACTGCAGTTGGTTCTGAGATGATTTTGACTTCTAAACAAAATCAAATTCATCTCTGCCATAATTCTGGATATTTAAAATAGCATGGCATCTTATTCTTTATTATTTCTTAGCATTTCAGAGGCAGCTGAAAAAGAGGCATTCCACAACATTTTTAAGCCATGGCAGCATTACTGGAACAAATGTGTAGCCTTCCTAGGTGACTGCTTTGAAGAGGACAGGGGCCTCCTGGATATTTAACTACTTATATGCTTGTTTGAAAATCTGTCCCATTACTTTAGCGTTATATCCCATTGGACAACAAATACAAAATCATAAATACTGAAGTGGTGAAGTTGTTCCTGATCACGTGGGTCAGATCCTTCTATAAGTCTAAATAAAAATCACCGTGAAAATTATATAGCGTTTCTTGAATTAAAGAATATAATTTAAATAACACAAAAAATCCAAAGGGATTCTTTATTCATTTTTGGTATTATTTAAATGTTTTAGAACTACAAACAAAGAATGTACAAAGCTAAATAATAGCTTATGAGTTATTTCTAACGGACACAACACAATACAATTGTTATTTATTTTAGATGAATGCTTAACAACACTTAAGATCCAGTTCTTAGAACGAGCTGGCAGCGATTATGCTAAATACACTTTAGCACTTATAAAAAATGAATTTTCCATTTGTTGTTGAAAAGTCTCTGACAGTTGTTTGTGACTGAATTATTATTGCCATTGATGATCAATAATATCACACAAAATGGCTAAAACCAAACTCAAGACATATTTGAAAACTTTATTCAAAAGAAACATTGCTTTTAGTTGCCACTTAACTCTGAAAGTACAACTTCCTTAATACAAAGATTTGCCTTGGAAAGTTTCTACTTAATCTAAATGATTATATTTGATTATTCAGGACACTAAAAAGAAAAACCCAAACAAATGAAATCTCAGTGATTGTTATAATCATTAGCAAAAATCCATTCACATATTAAACACTGTGAGCTTGTTATGCACTCTGCTGGACGATGTACACAGAATCTCAGGCATACTATCAGTGACTCTAGGTGTCTCTGGGATCAATGACAAAGTTTCACACATATACAAGTAGATTTAAAATTTTTTTTAATCCTTGAAGAGAAGGTAAGATTTTAATATCTTATGTAGCTATGGGTAAAGCTACATAAGATGCACTTTTAAATGTGAGGAACAAATACACATAAAAGCACAGGGAAGAAACTACTTTAGACTATGTGAGATTAGGAAAATCAGTTATTCAATAAATTTTTATTGAGGATTTATTATGTGCTGGGCACTCTAGTCAGCTCCTGTCACGTCAGTTTGGAAATATTCCTATTCCCTCCTTTGGAGATAAGTAGCAGATTCTTATATTCTGATTTCTTCTTTGTGAAGGGTAGGAAAGCAAGCAGAAAAACGAGGCAGCCTAGAGAACCTCAGGGAAGGTTTCAGCAGCATAGGGTTAAGTTTCTGAAAATGGAAATCAATTGCACAGGTTTATGGCAGGAGCAGCAGGTCAAGCAGCAGGAAGGAAGGATATGGAGAGTGGCAGGAAAAAGAGTGAACATAGGAAGGCAGTAACACAGATAAGGACTAGGCAACAAGCACCTAGATAAGGGCAGTACAAATCAGACACAGAAGAGGAGGAAGCAATAAATGATTTGAATGAAAAAAAAAAAATGGAAGCTCCTGAGAAAGTTGAGATTATTGTAAAGTTACAGCGTCAGAAACTGAAAAAATCTTATTGTTTTGTAATTTCTCCTCTTGCACAAAGGATTAGAGGGGGTTACTATTCATTGATGTGTGCGTTTATTGACTTAGAAAGTGTGTTTGCGATTTAATGTTTTGGAGGCTTTCTCTCAAAAAGAGCAAGAGCATCACATTCTCAATATTGCTTCCTTGAAGAGGTTTTTCCTGGCAACCTTGTCTTCAGCATTGCCTTCCTTCTCAATCACTGCATCATGCTCACTTCCTGTGAAACACCTACCACAACCTGCAGTACTTATTTTGCTTCCTCATCTAATATCTATCTTCCCAACCATAATGTCAGGGGCCATGGGGCAGAAACTTCATTTGTCCTTTTCATAAATGTATCCAGAACCTAGTATAGTGCCTGATACACGTTAAGTCTGAGTAAATATGCATCAAATGAATAAATTTACTTTTTCATTTCAGCCTCACACATACCAAAAAAATTTATACATTTGGCAAGGTAATGAGTTTAGATTTCATTTACAGCAATTGAAAACCAGTGAGTTTATCTGTCTAGCATCACATAGTAGATATGGTGGTGTTAGACTTGAGACCAGAAAGAGAAGAAGGAGGAGGAGGAGGAAGATGAAGAAGAATGTGAGGGGAAGGAGGGGAGAGGAGTTAGGGATGGAGGGAAAAGCGGAATGGGAGAGGAGGGGAGAGAGAGACAGAGAGGAGGGGAGAAAGAGAGGAGGAAGAAAGTGAGGGGAAAGAGGGAAGAAGAGGGAGGGAAAGAGGGAGAGATCCATAGGAGAGAGAAGGAGAGGGAGAGAGTGGGGGTTGGGGGAGGGAGAGAGAGATCCACACACGGTAGAAGAAATATAAATTAAGAGATTTTAAAAGTGCTCTGGAGTTAGAAAGCACATAGCCTTCAATCCATGAATTAAAATCTCACTAGCCAAATAGATACTGTTCTGAAGTAGAAACTAGAATAGACCAGAGAGAAAGCATATCTGTTTTTATTGTATTTTATTTACTTCTTAAATGTCTTTGTTTTAAAGATGTGGGGTACAATTCAGGATTAGGTAGATAAGTGGTCATTGGACAGATAAAGTTTGGGCCTCCCTTCTATTGCTTTTTTAAAAGAAAGACTTCCTATCCTAGAAACCATTTCTTCACGGTCCTCAGTAGGATCATGATAATGAATACCTTCCAGGATAACAGCAGACTAAGAAAATGCCTCGTCAAGGCAACAACCAGGAAACTGTGAAGTCTTAAAATTCATGAAATGATTAGCAATGTCCATGAAGTGTAAATGGGCAACTATACGCAGAATTCCTGAGATACCCTGAGTGTGACCCTGTCTTGTGGCCAGGCAGCTGAGTAGTCCATTACAGGACTCACACAGGAGCCAAGAGAGGAACTTTGCTTAGTATGGGAGAATGCAGCCCACAGGTGCAATGGAGAATTCTCTGCACATTAGGCAGTCAGCAGTAGCTGACTTTTCATAGTGAGAGAGGTAAGCCTTGTATTGAGGAAGTCAGGGGGTTCAAACAGCAAACAGACGAGGATCTATGAGGCCCAAGAAACAGAGACTGGGAACAGAAGTGAGGGATAGAGGGAAAGAGTTTAGGGATCAGGATGAAGACCTCAACCTTAGGGATACCATTCCTGATGGAAGAGTTTGCCCCACCCTGAGGAGAAAGAATTAGTGAGTAATCAAAACCAGATTTATGTTAACACACACCATAATTCTTTGTAAGCACAGCCATTGCTTGCTAACTGTTTAAGCAAATCTGTAATAAGTCTAATGTGGCTCTTTCAAAAAAAAAACAAAAAACAAGTTAAGACACTTCATATAGTGCCTGGCAGATAGAAGGCACTTAACAAATGATCACTATTATTACTATTATTATTATTGATATGATAACTATCATCATTATCTACCAAGAACTGTAGAACAGACATACAGGAATAAATCTGACTATGCTATCCTGGTACTCTGAAAGGATACCAAAAGAAGATTATCTTACATAACTATCCTATTAGCAAGGACAAGCCACCTTGGTCAGCCAGGTGAACAACCTGTATAG